TGTAATATTACTAATAATATTACAATATGATAGTATAGTACAATATTGTAATATATAATACTGGTATTATGCTATACTAATTATATAATATAATATATATACATATAATAATATATTTTATATTACATGTAATATTACTAATAATATTACAATATGATGGTATAGTACAATATTGTAATATATAATACTGGTATTATGCTATACTAATTATATAATATAATATAATATAATTGTATATACATATAATATTTTAATGTAATATACTATATTAATACTGTGATATTATAATTATATATTTTATATTACATGTAATATTGCTAATAATATTGCAGTATAATGGTATAGTACAATATTGTAATATATAATACTTGTGCTATGAGAAATATTCATATAATATTTATAATATTTTAATGTAATATACTATAATAATAATGTGATATTATAATTATATATTTTATATTACATGCAGTATTACTAATAATATTACAATATGATGGTATAGTACAATATTGTGATATAGAATACTGGTATTGTGTTATGAGAAATATTCATATAATATTTATAATATTTTAATGTAATACACTATAATAATAATATGAAAGTATAATTATATATTTTATATTACACGTAATATTACTAATAATATTACAATATAATGGTATAGTACAATATTGCAATATATAATACTGGTATTGTGCTATGCTAATATAATATATTATAATATAATATAATATAATTGTATATACATATAATATTTTAATGTAATACGCTATAATAATATGATATTATAATTATATATTTTACATTACATGCAATATTACTAATAATATTACAATATAATGGTATAGTACAATATTGTAATATATAATACTGGTATTGTGCTATGCTAATAATATAATATAATGTATTTAAATATAATACTTATAATATTTTAATGTAATACAATACAAAAATAATATGATATTATAATTATGTTTAATAATATAATATATGATAAATTCCTATAATATTTATAATATTTTAATGTAATACAATATAATAATATGATATTATAATTATATATTTTATATTACATGTAATATTACTAATAATATTACAATATAATGGTATAATACAATATTGCAATATATAATACTGGTATTGTGCTATGAGAAATATTCATATAATATTTAAAATATTGTAATGTAATACACCTTAATAATAATATGATATTATAATTATATATTTTATATTACATGCAATATTACTAGTAATATTCCAATATAATGGTATGGTACAATATTGTAATATATAATACTGGTATTGTGCTGTGCTAATAATATAATATATGATATATTCATATAATATTTATAATATTTTAATGTAACACACTATAATAATATGATATTATAATTATATATTTTATATTACATGTAATATTACATAATATTACAATATGATAGTATAGTACAATATTGTACTATATAAGACTGGTATTGTGCTATGCTAATAATATAATATATTGTATTTACATATAATAGTTATAATCTTTTAATGTAATACAATATAATAATAATAATATGATATTATAATTATATATTTTATATTACATGTAATATTACATAATATTGCAATATAATGGTATAGTACAATATTGTAATATATAATACTGGTCTTGTGCTATGCTAATAATGTAATATATTGTTTGTGTGTGTGTATACATATACATACATATTTATATATATATATACACACACACATACACACACACACATATATATCTTGTAAGTCCCTTCAGGGCAGCATATAAATGTCTTACACATATTAATTAATGAATCAATTAATTCTTTGTGCCTCTCCTCAGCTGGAGTTGGATGGCAAGATGGGATCGCTGCACCTTTTGCTGGCCCCTCAGCAGATCTTGTATTTGCTGGACCTTCTGGGATCCCTGAACCTCTCAGGTGAGCTTGGAAAATGTGGTGTCAATTTGCCCAGTGGTTTTTGAGTTATGTCAATCCCACAAACGAACATTACATTTCTTTATTTCTATCGATCTATCCATGTGTGTATGTTTCAGTGTAAACGGTGTGGCCCACTTGTTGATTGGGTTTACGGATGACTAGGACATGGTAGTTTTCCTCATTTCCTTTTTTGGGAAATTGGATGTTTGGGTGGATGTCCCAGGCAGATCCTTCTCTGTGTTGACTCCCTTCGTCCCCAACGCAGAGTCCAGCCTCCTGCAAGAGCAGCTGAGCAAGAACCGGCCCCTCGACTCGGAGGACTTGAAGCTGATTGAGCAGGACCTCAGCCAGCAGCTCCATTCAGGCTTCGCAATGACAACAACAATGGCCGCCACTCGCCTGGAGAGCATGGGCACCTGCGCTGGGCTGGAAAACGGAGGTAAATATCGTGGTAGAAAGTCTCTTTAGGAATGTCGAGGTCCTTTTTCTTGCACAGCGTCCACCATCATGGACAGGTTGAAGCTTAATCCAGACAAGACAGAGGTCCTCCTGGTCAATCGCGGGGCCGACCGCGGTATTGGGTGGCAACTCCCCTTGAAGGCACAGGTCTGTAACTTGGGGGTTTGTCCTGGATTCGACATTGTCACTTGATGCTTAGGCGTCGGCTTTTGCACAACTCAAACTCATGCACCAGTGGCGACCATACCTCATGAAGTCTGACTTGGCCAGGGTGGTCCACGCCTTGGTTACATCCAAACTGGACTACTGCAATGCGCTCTACGTGGGGCTGCCCTTGAAGAGGGCCCGGAAGCTCCAACTGGTGCAACGGGTGGCAACCAGGCTCCTTACTGGAGCAAACTATAGGGAGCATACAACACCCCTATTAAAACAGCTTCATTGGCTGCCGATAAGTTGCCGAGCCAAATTCAAGGTGCAGGTCATGACCTATAAAGCCCTAAACGGTTCGGGCCCCGCGTATCTCTGCGATCACATCTCCTTCTATGAACTGGCACGAGCTCTAAGATCTTCCAGGGAGGCCCTCCTCTCGGTCCCACTACCATCTCAAGTGCAGTTGGTGGGGACGAGAGAGTAGGGCCTTCTCAGTGGTGGCCCCCCGCCTCTGGAACGCCCTTCCAAGGGAAATAAGACAGGCCCCATTCCTCCCCGACTATCTC